GGCTTGTCCGGATCCCGCCTCAGCGCCGCCGACCGCCGCCATCTTGGAGAAGGAGAGAAAAGCGCGAGCGGCCAGGGAGCCTCAGTCGAGCCCAGAGCGCAGACTCCGGCTCGGGAGGGGAACCCCGCGGGAGAAAGAGCGCCGAGCACATCGAATGAAGAAACTCCGCTTGCTGAGCTCCCGCGCTTGCACTTACTGAGAATTTGCTGTGTGCCAGGCTTGCGCTAGAAGTTCTACGAACTTGGCATCATTTAATCCTCACTGTATTCCTGTGAGGTAGGTTTTGTCGTATTTTGTGAAAGAGAAACAGGCTCAAAAAAGTTAAGTGACTCGTTCAACGATACACAAATTGTTGGAATGGAAGGTAGGATACTACCCCAAGTCTTCTGATTCTTAATTTGGTGCTTTCCCCAAAAGACTATGGCATTTCTGTCAAGGTATTTTTATACAATAACTTCCCTCTTTGTAAAACCCAGGTCCATACAGATTAATATCAGCGGCGTTTGAGATTTAGTACCTACATATATTTGGATATTTGGCTTATGGGGGAAAGGTGCAAGAAGATCTCTGTAACAATGCACTTTGTAACAATTTAAAAAATGGGGAATCATTTCTTCCTCACAAGTTGTTCTCAATTAAAAGTTAGAAACAATCTTTAGAGAGATGAAGAGATGTCATACAAAAGAAATTTCCTGTGGAGAACTTGGAACAATGGATAGAAATGACAATGCCAGAACTTCCAGAACTTTGCTTACTACAAAGAAGAACTTAGGTTTGGAACACAGTTCAGTAGTATAATGGGTTACCTTGTGAGTAGTGAGTTTCCATCCCTGGAGGAGTCGAGCAGAAGCTGGTGTCCTGGTTACAGAAAAGCAGAAGGATATATAGATGGCCTTCTAGAGCTGGGAACCCAATGAAACTCCATGCCAAATCATGTATTTGTGCACATGCGTTTTCCCTGAGCTTGGGCTTCATCCACCACCCCTACCCCCCAGCAGGTTTTCCTTTTCAGAATTGGATGAGTACTTGAAGATAATGTAGTTATGAGACCAAGAAAAGCCTCAGGCTACACTGCTAATTAGTGCTCAGAAAGGATTAGAAGCCAGATTACTGGGCCCTTGGTTCGGTTTTCTTTTCCCACCTCTGTGCTGAGTAAAGATTGCATTCTGTTTAATCACTGCTCTTACAGTTGTGATACTGAGATGTTAAAACACCCGAGGAAAAGTTGCTGAATTTATTCCCAAAATGTAAATATAAATAATAAATAAAACTAGTATCTTAGCTTTCTTTTCCTCAGCCCCCATCCTGCCCACCAAAAAGATAAGCAATCAGTTTTACCATATGTTATAAGATCACATTTTCCTGAAATTAGACTTCCTTTTGAAGTATTCAAGCCCCAAGAATGTATTTCTTGGGGCCAGCAGGTGGCATCGAGGTTGGGACGCTAGACTCCCAGATGGCCAACCTTGGATTTCAGTCCCTAGGTTTTCAGACCTAGTAGCTTGAAAATCACACTGCCCAAAATCCCAGAGAAGAGATGGGAGGGGGTGGGATTGCAGTGTGGCCATCCTTCCTGAGGGGTGATTTTTCACTTACTTTCTCTCTGTCTGTTTCTCTCCACTCCAGCAAGCATATGCAATCTATGATGACCAAAAAAAAAAAAAAAAAATTGAAATGTCCAGTGCCTTCAGGCATGGCTGGATCTAGGGAAGGACTCAGGCTGGTCCCTTGACAGCTCTCTGTGATGCTTTGCTCTGAGTTGGTTTTATTTTCAGGCTCAGGTGGTGATTCCAGCAACTTCAGGCTTCATTATCTTTACTGCTAGCGCTGCATCTGGGGAGGAAGTTTCTGTTTTCTCTTTGCTGTAGAAGTAATGAGATTGACTCTTGTTTCCTAAATTGGATCATGTGTCCAAACAGAAAGAAATCACTGTGAGCAAAGGTGAAGAATATGCTGATTGGTTAAATTAGGTCACATGCTCACCCCCCAAGAGTAGAGTAGGGGTTATTAAGAGGGCGAATGGATATTCAGTAGGCAAAAGCAGTAGTTTTCCCTCCAGTGGATCACTATCTTAGGCCTCAATGCCTCATGAATCCCATTTCTTCTCCTCCTTCCTCCTCTTCTTCTCCTTCTGCTTCTCCTTCCTTCTTCTCCTTTTTTAAAATTTATTTTTTCAAAGAATTATTTAACTTTATTTATTTATTTTAATTTGCTAAGAGAGAGACAAAGTGAAAGAGAGAGAGAAAGAGAGAGAGAGAGAGAAAGCAAGCTGCTAGGTCTGGGACTGGAACCACAATCAGCTACGTGGGAGTCCAACACACTTACCCACCATGCCACCTGCCGGCCCCCTCTTTTTTTTTTTTAATAATTATTTTATTTAACTTTCTTTCTTTCCTTCCTTCCTTCCTTCCTTCTTTCTTCCCTCCTTTCTTCCCTTTTCTTTTCTTTTCTTTTCTCTTTTCTTTTCTTTTCTTTTCTCTTTTCTTTTCTTTTCTTTTCTCTTTTCTTTTCTTTTCTTTTCTCTTTTCTTTTCTTTTCTTTTCTCTTTTCTTTTCTTTTCTTTTCTCTTTTCTTTTCTTTTCTCTTTTCTTTTCTTTTCTTTCCTTCCCTTTTCTTTCCTTTTCTTTTCTTTTCTCTTCTCTTCTCTTCTCTTCTCTTCTCTTCTCTTCTCTTCTCTTCTCTTCTCTTCTCTTCTCTTCTCTTCTCTTCTCTTCTCTTCTCTTCTCTT